AATTCACAAGAAAAATAAATCAAAGAAGAAGAAAGAGTACATGAAGTTATCAGAAAAAAAGTGAGTTTGAGGGGAAGGAGTGGACATGGATTTGATCAAAACACCTTATATGCATACATGAAATTCTTAATAAATAATTTTTTAAAAACTTATTTTCCACTGCTTATAGATAAGATTTAATTTTAAATGTGAATTCAAATGTAAGACTTAATTTCTTTTCTTTTTTCTTTTTATTATTTTATTATTTTTATTATTGATTTATTTATTTTACATGAATGGGCACTATGCCTGCATATGTGTAAGTGCACATTTACAGTGTAGTGCCTGCAGAGAACAGAAGAGGGCATTAGATCCTCAAACCTAGGTCTTCTGCAAGAACAGCCAGTACTCTTAACAGCATCTCTCCAGCTCCTATTTTATTGTATTTTATTTTATGTGTATGAATGTATTGCCTGCATGCATGTGTGCACTCATGACATTCAATGTCCGTGGAGGTCAGAAGAGGATGTTGGATCCCCTGGAACTGATGTTACAGGTGGTTGTTAGCCACCACATGGGTGCTGGGATTCAAATCTGGTTCTTCTGCAAGAGTAATCAGTGCTTTTAACCACTCAGACATCTCTCCAGTCCCTTAATTTTTCTTTTATGAGATAAGGTCTTGCTATGTAGCCTTGGTTAGACTCCAACTCATGATCCTCCTGCTTTAGCCTCCTAAGTGCTGAGATTATAGGCTGTATCATTATGCCCAGCTAGATTTAATTCTTCTTATCCAGGGCTCTAAAATATCTAGATATAAGCATCATATATAGTAAATATTTGTTCACTAAATGATGTTTTCAAAAAGCCAGTAGTCAAATTCTTGTGATAAATGGACTGGTAGGCTGGAGGGCCTGGATTTCAGAGTTCAACACCAGAGTACCTAGTACCTGCATTCACACTGCATATAAGGAAGGTGAGAGATAGCATGGTGGAACTACTTAGTGATAGGAGCAGGGTTATCCCAACTTCTTGGTCAAGGCTTTGTGGCCACACCTGCTTTCTCCTAGCTTCAATCAGAATCTTACTTCTCTGTATGGAGTTACTCAAATTTAGGGGAAAATCTGGTTTTGAAGCTAAGTGGAATTCTGTATTCCAAGTCATAATTGAACTGTTGGATTTGAAGTTTAAATAAAGAGCTCAGACATTATTGATGGTTTAAGTCTATGTTTCCTTTTTCTGGGTTCTGATACCATCATATCTCAGTAGAGTGCACATGTCTTAGGTCAAAAATATTAGCTCTTTTCCTGTCTCTTATTTTGGGTTAGAAATAATATTTCCTCAGAAAAAATAAAGCTTCAATGTATTTACATATTTCCTATGGCCCCTGTGTACTATGATAGCATTATGCACTAGTTATAAGAGAGACCACACAAGTGGTATTCTCCTACTCTGTACAGGAACTGTTTACCAAGCCCTGGTCTATATGAAATCCAAGCCACCAAGAAATGGACACATTCACACAGTCAACCAGCTGTTAGAGCAACACATCAACAACCCCTGCATGGCTCACACAGCACTATCTCCATTAAATGTGTTCTGCTTTATCATATAGGATGTGCAGTATGAAGATACTATTTGTGTTAATGAAAAACTGGGTTATGTGCTGATGCCGAGTTGGACCGTGTTATTCTGCTCTTTTTTTATCACTTTCAGAAAGGAAAACTAAGACAATGAACTCACCTGTATTGATAGACCTCACAGTACCAGGGTTGCTGCTTCACGAAGAGAAATGCACACACCTGTACAATGCAGGTGAAACAGGAATTCAGAAATACAGAGAGCAGCAACTGTGGAGAAAGAAGTTGTCCTGCTGGTCGATATGGAGCGAGCTTTGGGTAGGCATGATTCAAACTCACTAAAAAAGACAAGTATTTTTTTTTGTCACAAATTCGTCTTTGAGAACAAAAGATTGAGATACACATTATCTTGAGTCTCATATTAAGATTCAGCTTGAGAAAACATGAATTGAAGGTTTAAAGTTACACAAAGCCAATTATGTAGCTGTATGTCCGTATCCGCCACCTTTGGCCTTCACCAATGCTTTTGTTCCATTTCCAGAAGTAACATATAATAGGCTGAAAAAATCCTATAATTAATATATTTACTGGATCACATGATAGTCATACTTTTTCTAGTGACTCATCAGAGTTGATGTGTAAAAACAGAAGATGGCTTTCCCATGGGATGGACAGTACCAATATCTCTCAATAATGATGGGAAAATGGAGTGTTGGGATGGGAGAGTATGCAGGCATCTACCTGGACTAATTTTCATATGCTAATTAAAAGAAAGCACCTGCTCTGTTATTCACCAATATTCTCCATGTACTTCGATGCGCCAGGCAATGCAGTAGATGTTCCCGGTGTGCTGTTTCTTTCTGAATATCCATGGAAACTGGGGGAGAGCTTGCTACTGCACATTCCTTTTGGTTCAATGGAGGTGAAGGGGCCCATGGAAACATTATTTCTAGATAACACTGTTAAAAGAAATTGCATATTTGACCCCAGGAATTTTTTGGCATTTAAAGTGTTTGGGAACGGCAAATTCAAAAGCACGTGTTTCTGTGAAGACGACTACATCCTGCTTAGATGCTGCATGTTCTAACAAACTGGTGAGCATGAGATGTGCTCTGATTTCATGACGGAGTAGGAAAGAAGTATGAGGCCAGCAGTTCAACATCACACCCAAGATTTATATGAGTTGTGTTTCCATCCTTATCTTATCTTCCTTCCCACCCTTTCTCAACTTATTTCTGGTCTTTGTTGCTGCTGCTGCTGTTTTCACATACAATGAAAAAAAGGAGAGTACACACACCTAGGCTTAGGCTTATGCATATATAGTTAGGCAGGGCAGCAGCGAATCAGTGTAGTTTGGAATAATAAAACCATAAAGTGGATCTCTATTCAATATGTGGTCTGGGATAATGATGTAAACACTCTGATTTGTCACTTTTTCATGTAAAATATGAGAACACTATAATATATAAATGGTCCTCAAAGGCCCTTCTAACTCATTTAATCTAAATCTCTATGACTACCTAAGGCTTTGCTACTGACATTCAATCTATGTCTCCCCAGCAGAGTGCTAGAAGCCATGAGGAATGGAGAAATGTGAAAGGTATTTTATCTGTCACCTAAGTTCTGAGTCCAGTGGAAGACACAGTGACTATGTAATACAGAATGTGGTGGAGCTTTGCCCCCAGCTCCCAAGACATTTGCTGGGTTTTGTGAATATTTTCCTTTTCATAGTGGACCCTGACAATATGTGTCAAGCTGACTGATGGATGGTTTGAAGAGAACTGGTGTTAACAATGTTACTCAGGAATGGAGCTGGCAACACCCCAAAGACCAGCTCCAAAGTTGGCGCTTCAAGCCACATACCTGCCTGAGATGGAAGAGGAGAGGCATGCTGGAGAGTGATTCCATCCTTGAGACAGATAATTTAACTACCTCCCCCTGTATTTCCTCAGTGTAGTTTGATGGATCTTGTTGAAGAGGACAGACGTGTTACTAGCACAGATTTCCACACAGACTAGGGTAGACTGAACTTCAAGATGTGCATGCTCTCAACTGGTTTCCTTCCTGACATCATATTATTTTTTCTTTGATTTTCTGTTTAATATGCCACATCTTACCTTATTTGCTGTACCTTTTGTCTTAAAATCTTACAGGAACAAAGTATGATATGTATAGGTTAGTAAATAAATAAATTGTGATGATATTCCCATTTTCCTGGGGACGTGGAAATATAAGGAGCCTTGATGAGAGCACTTTTATAGAAACTGTATCCAATGATCATTGACTTTTAAAGGCAGCAGATAGACATTCACTGCTCAGCTTTGAAGTTATGACTTGACTCTCTGATCTGGCCTAATTACACTTCAAATTGTGTCTCCTGCTGCTTCTTTTCACTTAACCCTACAGTGTGGTCAAAGTGAAACAATCATAGTCCAAATTTATCTACAGTCTTTGGTTCATGCTGCTTCCTTCTACTTGAAATGGCCTTCCTGGGAGGGAGAGGAGATAGAACGCAGTGATATAAATGGGGAGTAATGGAGAAGGAAGGGTTAAATGTGGTGGAGAATGGGAGGACACAGCAGAGGAGGGGGTATGGGGAGGGATAACTAACACTAATGGCTTTTGGGAAAAGTCCTGTATAACCCTACCAGTATAGAAGCTTCATAAAGTATATAGATGTACAATATAAAAAGAGTTTAAGTGGAACTACCTTATGATGAGGAGAGAACATCCCACCAGGCACCATAAGATCACAAATAAAGCTTTGAAGTCTGTGGCTCAGTGCCAGGAATGGACTCTATCTTTAGAAGCTGTTGACCAGAGTTCCCATAGACCCTCAAAATATACTGGCTATAGCCCTTGCTATTGGTTACCCACCAGACCATGATAGTAAAACCCTATTCCTGAAGACACTATATACTTGAGTCATAGAACAAAGAAGGACAAATCGAGCTGGCACAGACCTCAAAGCTTCATCTCTACTGGCTAACTTTCATAATGCTGTAAGGTGCTATGAATGCTACTTGAAGAGAAAAGCAATCATAAGTTGCGAGTTAAAATAACTGGCCTGGCAAGATAAGCCCACTATGCAATAGTGGCACAAATGTTATGTGAGTAACCAAGTGTTTTCTGATTAGATTCAAGGTCTTCTTCACAATATGGAAGCCATATCTGGCATTGATATCAGACCTAAGAACATGTGGCTAGATAGGTCACAGACCATAGGGTAGAACCTCCAACTATTATTCTGCTAAATGGACATAGCATTAAATCAACTCAAATGACTTATTGTTATACCCATAGATAAATGAATCTCTCAGCTCTCACCAGAAAATCTTGTTCTTGTAGCAGATGATGACTAACACTAGAGACCCATGCTGGTCAACATGCAGAGAATAAGAGATCGTGCAGTGCTTAGCACTGAATGGGATACCCATATCAAACCTTTCCCTCCTGAGACTCAGGGATTATTGTAGGAGAGGGGGCAGAAAGACTGTAAGTCTCTGGTTATGAATGATCAGAAGGAGACAGTGCTTTCCAGACAGCAGGGAAGTTGCTCATATGAATTCTCAGCAATGATGACAGCGTTCACAAACATCACATAAGCTCAAGCCAGACAATTTACAGCAAAGAGGTGGGGAAATGGATAGGAATTCCCTGGGCCTAGCTGAGGAGCTATTGACAGCTGACAGCTGTTGGGGGAAGGAGCAGGTTCTCTCTGAGGGTGTGACACTGGGAAGGTGGAAAGCTCCGGGGGATGAACTCACACTGAAGGGCATTTGGGGACACAAACTAGACTCAATAGGGCTTAAAAAATAATAGAGGACATGAAATCAGGCAGGGCATAGTAAGAGGGGTATACATAGGGGAGAGGTCTGAGTATGATAAAAATACATTGCATGAAATTCCCAAAAATTCAATAAAAATATATTTTAAGCTGAGCGTGGTGGTGCACGCCTTTAATCCCAACACTTGGGAGGCAGAGGCAGGCGGATCTCTGTGAGTTCAAGGCCAGCCTGATCTACATAGTGAGTTCCAGGACAGCTGGGGCTACAGGGAGACCCTGTCTTTGCAGATCATATGGTATTGTACAAAAGAGATTCCAAGATCTCACCAGAAAACTTCTAGAAATTATCAACATTTCAGAAAAGTGGTAGAATACAAAATCAACTTGCAGAAAAATCAGTAGACTTTCTATATACCAATAACAAGCATTCTGAGAAAGAGATCATGGAAACACTCCCAATCACAATATTCACAAAAAATCTAGGAATAAATCTAACCAAAAAGGTGAAAAAAGTTATTATTTTTTAAAATTATGTTTATGTGTGTGTATCTGTGTGTAAGTTTGTGCATGTGAGTGCAGTACCCACAGGGCCAAGAGAGGATGCCAGATCACCTGGAGTGGGAGTCACAGGCAGGTATGAGCCACCTGACATGGGTTCTGGGAGTAGAGCTTGGGTTCTCTACAAGAGCAGTACATATGCTTAACAGCTGAGCCAGCTCTTCAGTCCTAATCAAAAGATTTTTGAAGTCTACCATCCTTCCTGTCTTGGTGTCCTGTCTTCTTCCTTGAAGCTACCTCTGATATTTCTCTTCTGTCTCCAGTGCTATCTCTTTTCTAATTCCAGATTATCAGAGGAAAAAAAAAAGTCCTTTTTCTGAACTTCCAAAGCATGTGCTGTTATCAAGCCACTCTACGTTGAAAGTGTGTCTCATCCATTCATGTACGTAACCTGCTTCCCGAAACTCTCTAAACCTGAGCCACCAGCCTTTAATGTGCCACATAGCTATGTGCCTAACATGGAGTAAGAAAAGAAGCTGCTGTGAGAGGGTGCTTTCCTGTTGGGTGGAGTTTTGCTGGCCTGCATATTTGAGGACAGTGAATGATAAGTGCCAATTTAGCATGAGGAGAGATGATAGTGATGTCTCTGTAGATCTTGCAAAGGAGGTTCACACTCGTTCTTCCATTATAAACATGCTCCCTTCTCTACCTGATTCCACAGAAGAAAACTACAGTGATTATCAAGGGATACTTTCAGGAGAATTGAAAGGAGTAGCATAAAGTCTTGCCTTTGTCTCAGAATTGTCACAACCCAATGAGAGAGAGTCATAAGAAGTATTCAACAAAGTCTGGAAATGATATTGAGAGAACATTCTGGCCTTCCTCAACCTTCACGGTAGCAAACAGGAAAGAAAGGAAAGGGACGCTGTACATCTTTTATTTTGTAGGTGAGGTAGAAGCCATGGAACTTATACAGGCCAGAATTAGCCTAGCAAGAAGCTTCCCAATAAGGCAGGCTGCACAAGTCTTTGGGGTGTGTGACTGCAGATGGCATTTGAAGAAATGATTCCTGGCGGGGGGGGTCGAAAGGAGAGAGCATTCACTCATGTCAGAGAGATGGCCAGAACAATCCCCAGGGAAGCTCTGCAGAGCTTACCAATGAGCCCTGTACAAACTGCCTGAGCTCAGACACCTGCCATGTTAGGAGGCATTTGCCAGGAGGGAACTACAGCACTCAGTGTTAAACAAGAACAGCTTTTCTCTAGTTGCACCTATTTCCTGAAGTGGGGTGAAAAAGTAGGTGATGACATAAGGGAAGTACAGTGAGAGCCATGCCCTCGCCCACTGCTAGCACCAAGGCATAGGCGGGCCTAATCCAGAAGAAAAGCTATGAATTGGATAAAAACAGGAAATATTCATTTGAAGTCCCTGGATTTCTGGCACTGGAGAGATGGCTCAGCAGTTAAGAACACTGACTGTTCTTGCAGAAGACCCGGGTTTGAATTCCAGTACCCACATGGCAGCTAACAACCCTGTCCATGACTCCAGTCCCAGGGGATCCAACAGACTCTTCTATCCTCCGTGGGTATTGCATGATACGGGTGCACTTACCTACATGCAGACAATACACACATACATATAAAATAATAAATAAAATATAAAAAATAAAGTCCTTGGATTTCTTATATCTAAAGATGAGATCATTATAACCTGAACTGACCAGCAAACAATCTGCCTGTGGGACGACTAAGATTACAGGGATAGGAAAACAATGCTTGAAAACAGAGGATAAAAAACAAACAAAAATAGCAGTTTCCAACCTCTACCCTCATGATCACTGATTTCCTCAGACTTCAGCCCATTTATTGAGTCAGCTATGCTGTTGTTGAATAATAATCGGATAAAATGCTGTTCTCCTCATAGAATAGTATGCTTCTGATTTATCACTTTTGTGAGACCCTCATCTCCTAGAAGTAGTTACAGCAGTGCATGGAGTCATTTCAATATCCTCTTGAGCCCATGCTCAGAGGAAAGGCTGTTTCACAGGGTAACCAGCTGGCATGAGAGTCAGCAGGTTACCATGGCAAAGAGTATAAAGTAGCTCTACCTCCATGGCAGTCACCTCCAGAACGAATAGGCAAGTAAGTGTGGGGAACACCCAGAATAACTTGCTCAAGGTCTCCACCAATTCTGAAGCAAAGTAAGAACTGTTGCCCATGTTTAGGGGTTGCTAAAGACTCCATTCTAGCTGAACACATTTGATTCTTTTCAAATCACCAAGATGGCAGTGCAGTGAGACCGTTCAGCTGCTTCTGAGTCCCTCTGTGCCCTGTACTGTGATGTGCACTTCATAAGCTTCATTTTGTCTGACCTACTGAGCCCAATGAGAGTCTTTCATGATGAGTTCATTACTTATTTCTTAAATAGCATGCCAAAGGCCACAGAGGTTGGGAGTGCTAGGAGAGAGCCATGGCCTTCACCCAATACGGTCTGCTAGCTTAGTTCGTGGAATCGCCTGTTCTTTTTCATTTTAATATCATTCACACATAAATTATGCAAATTGCTTAAAAGCACCCAATATTATAGAGGGAATATCACTGATTCAAAATTATTCAGTCATATGAATGTTAATAACATATAGAAAAATATTTAATGAACTCCGAATAGACATTTCAACTCTTATAATCAAAATTGATATTACTTATATCTCAGATACTGGTAAATTTTGTCATTGTGTGGATATAATAAATGACTTCAATAACACTTTTGTGTTTTACGATGCTACCTGAAATTGTCAAGGTTGTTAGTATTCTTTGGTGCCTGATAGTTTATCTGTTATTTTTCATAACACGTCACTGTTGAACGAAGAAATGGAGGTGACAGTGCCATATTTTGTGTTCTCTGTTGGGGTAGTCACTTTTCTCACTTCGTAAGAGTTAGTATCAAGCCTCGTGTTCCTGGATCAGAAACACTTTATAAGTGTCATCTCAGAAGTAGGAACTGAGCAACAGCTGCTGTAAGCTGAACCTTACTTTGGAGAGAATCGTACTAGAATAAAATGTAAGCGTTCGCTTTCACACACTGAAAACCTAGCAGAAAACTAATTTCATGTCAACATGAAACACAACTGAATAACAGAAAGCGACTTATGGGTTTAAAAGATTCCCTTTTTGGCTTTCTTATGCATTTTTCTATGTACAAGATACAAAACTACAAAAACTCAGAATATTTGACAAGTTCTTGAGGCAAAGAGCTGTTTATTATCAGAATATTTTACTGCCCAGTCTAGAGACTCCAAGCTTGAAATAACTCCTAATATCACGTTCAAAAATATCATAGGCAATGAGGTTTTGGTAGTTGGGGTGCTATTTTCTTAAGAAGTTCTTTGTATGTTTCTAAAATTTCATATACAGATACAAGCAATGCATTTTGCTTAGCTAAAGAACTTACTTGTTAGGCAGACCATCAAAGTGATGGCTACATCTTGCATGAGATACTGGTAATTCCCAAAAAGTTGAAGTTGCTGAAAAAAAAAAGAAAAAGTATGTAATGCTGAGTGAGATGCACAGAGGAACATTACATAGCAATGGTCAAATCAGGAGTCCTTTAATAACAGCCAGCAGTCAGAGAGGGGGCTAATGACCAAAAGAACTCGCAACCCCGAGGAGAAGCAAGGCAGGGTTTACAAAGCTTAAAGCCATAATTACATCATGCCAGGGGAAAAATCCAATAACCATAGTTACATCAAATCACCATAGTTACACCAGACTAGAGGCAGGTAAGTTAACAAAGAGATTTTCAGGTAACAAAAAGTTTCAGTTAGGCTGGGTGGGACTGCTACCTGAACATGCCACCCAGCTACTTAATAAGTTTCCCAGTATTGTAGAAACATGTACTCCCTGAAACTGCCTGAATAAGATGTTCTACCTGGCTGGCTGCAGTAGGAAGGGCTGGGCAAAAACAGATGGTAAAGCAAAAGTCAGCTAAAACAAAATGGAGTTAATTTTGTAGTTTTGCCATTTAAGTACAAATTGGCACTAACACCACAATGTATCAGTATAGTACAATATTCTTTTTTTAATTCTTCTTGGGCCTTTTTGAGACAGGGTCTCCCTGTAGTGGGGCTGGCCTGGAACTCACTATGTAGACCAGGCTGGCTTCAGACTCACAGAGATCCACCTGCCTCTGCCTCCCAAGTGCTGGGATTAAAGGTGTGCCCCACTATGCCTGGCTGTACAATATTCTTGTAAAGCACTAGCAGGAAACTGTTATTTCTTTCTTCTGTTCAAAAGATAATACAAACCTACATTCATCAGCATTTAATTAGACAAAATGAACCCAGTAACTTTTTTCCCAGTGTTTAACCGAAGTCTTTATTTGCAGTGGCTCAGTCAGTGCAGAGGCCACCTCCTATTGGCCACATTAACTCTCAGCCTATACCACTAAATCCTCAACACAAGATATCAAAGTGTGAAAGTCCCTAAGAGAACAGTAAACAAAAGTTGAAGTCAGTGCCTCAATTTACTCCACCCTCGTTGGTCTCCATTCTTGACTATGGATTGAGTTCACAACATAGTGCTCTTGGACCCCAATCATGTTCACAAACTGAACAAGGGCACTTCCCTATGTAAACCCATTGCAGACTTCAGTCTGCTTTCTTAAGTTTTGGGTAGGCACAGAACTTAACTTTTCAGTTCACATTTTTGGAGCTGAAATAGTTAAGCATCAAAGTCAAATCATTACTCTTCTGGAACTTTCCTTCTGGACCTTTTGTGACAAGGCCTCTGTATCTGCTTCCTATCTAAACTGTAATCTGATTCTGAACACATTACAGATTTCCCTATATGGAAATATGACAGGCCTTTCCAAGAGTCATCTTAGTCACCAGAAGCTTCTGGGATGAGGTCATAAGAGGATGCTCTCATACAGCTCTAGACAACTAGAGTGGATGACTTCTCAGTGAAGTGTGATTCCTGCTCCACCTGTCGACATGTCAGCTCTGCTTTCTACTTTATGAAATGCGGCAGTAGGCACATGTGTTCCTCACATTCCCCAACTCTTTCTGTGTTTTTTATTTATGTGTTGTGCGTGTGTGTGTGTGTGTGTGTGTGTGTGTATGTGTATGTGTGTGTTTTATTGAAACAGAGTCTCTCAATGAATCTGGAACTTACCAATTGGCCAGACTGGCTAGCCAGCAAGTTCCTGGGATCTTCCTGTCTCTGCCTAGCACTGGGAGTGCCAACATCTCAACTTTTTATGTGGGTACTTGGGATCTGAAAGTAGCAAGCACTTTACCCACTGAACCATCTCCCTAGCCTCTATTTATTTCTTCTTAGCATTTTCCCTCCTAGTGGTAAAATCACATACATGAGGAAACAGTGTGAATGAAAGTCCCCCCAAAAATACATGCATCTTCAAACTGATTATGCAAGGTTGATCAATTGATTAGAACCTCAATGATAGTAGAGAGTTTGGAATACTGGAGGTCTAGTGCCTAATTACAGTTTATCCTGGGCTATCTTTAGCTTCCTAAAGAGCCATGCCTTGTGTTTGACCTAACATCCTGTGACTTATAGTTAAAAACATTTGGGAATGTATTAACCTAACCAAACCCTAACATCTACTTAAAGTTAAGTAGGTCTAAGGATGCAGTCAGACAGCATCTACGACCTGTAGCAGAGTTCTTCCCACTTTGCTCTAACCCACCTCTCTGATGTCTCCACCAATATATTTGAAAGTGTCTTGATTTATGATCTTTGTCCTGTTATTATAAAAATTTCGTGAAACTGTTTCCACGTTGGAACATGGAATTTGGGGTAACTTGAATCTGTGCTCCTGGGCCATGGTTACTCATATTTGGCTCCAGAACAAGCTCTTATCCCCTTTGAGGTGAGGGTTGTACCTTTGGGTTGACAGGAGCAAGAAATGTCCAACAGGAGTTTTAGATTTTGCTCTAAGAATAGCTTCCATAGAACCATGGAAACCTCAAAAACCAGCAAGTCTAACTTCCAGGAGGCAGGAGCTGGCCAAGGTCAAGATACACTTTGTGTTTTGGATGGAGATAGACCTTGAATCATGTTTCCTGGTTCTCAGTTTAGTTCTTATCCCTATCCCTCCCCACCCAGTGGCCCTTAGCCCACTGTGCTTGTCCTTGCAAGCAAATAAACTTCTCTGTGGTCTCCTCATTCACTTCTTTTTGTTTTTTCTTTTTTCTTTGATGAGACAAAGTCTTACTATGTAACCCTGACTGGTCTGGAATTCTCTATGTAGGCCACCCTGATTTTGAACTCACACCAATTCACCTGCCTCTGGCCACTGAGTGCTGAGATTAAAGGCGTGTGCTGCCACACCAGGCCCTTATTCACCTTTTTTTTTTTTTTTTCTTTTTGGTCTTTTTGAGACAGGGTCTCCCTGTAGCCCCAGATTTCCTGGAACTATGTAGACCAGGCTGGCCTTGAACTCACAGAGACCCACCTACCTCTGCCTCCCAAGTGCTGGGACTAAAGGTGTGTGCCACCACACCTGGCCCATATTCACTTCTTAAATATCCCCAAAAGCAATAAAATAGTTTTTTTTTTCCCTCCATGTTCTTTAAGCCTGTTGGATCACTATTATTGAAATAATGAAGATTATTTTCAATCTATACAGTTTTTCCACATAGCTAACTAACTTTTAAATGAGTCCTTTTTAAGAGTAAATTTCAGTTTTAAAGAATTGCTAATCTTTTGCTGATGATATGTCTGTGTTAAATTCTGAGTAGGCTTAAGAGTAAGGCCTGAGTATGGGAGATTTTTAGCATTCCAGTCATTCTAAATAAAATCCAGCAACTTCTCTTCCTTTTTATCTCTTTTGAGTCTTTTGCCAAAAATATTCCACAGTTTGAGACAGATCCATTTCCTGCTGAGTTATATTTAGGCTTCTTTGAAGCTCTCTTTATACACCAAGGGAAGAAACAGGGGCTTACAGAGGTCAAGAGTCTCAGGTTATCCAGAGAAAACAAACACCCTAGAAAACAGATCCACAGCTAGTGACTTCCAGCCCCACATTTCACAAAGCACACCAGGTTCCCAAGTTTGTAGGCTCCTCTTTCTAAGCAATGCCATATATTTATAGAACATTCAATCCTGCATGGGAGCCACATCCCAAAGCATAAACCAGGGGTCTAAGTACAATTAGAACAGAGAAGAAATAATCTTGACTCATACCCAGTAGAGAAGTGATGTTCCAAAAAACTGGATGATGCCGTACATGGTCAAGTATTTAAATACACCAAAAGATGAAACCAGAGCAGCCCGGCCTTCCCTGTTTAAAATAAACAAGCACAAACACCTGATTATATACCCTATACATCACCTAGTTGTCTTTGTATTTCAAAAAGGAGTTCTGTTTTTTAAATTAATTTCTTCTTTGAAAATTTCACATCAGCTAGTTGTGGTTCCATGTTAATCACCTGCTGCATAAGGAGGCTTCTCGGGTAAGAGTTAAGAAATGCATTAATCTGTGGGTGTACAGTAAATCATTAGGGGGTCATTTTAATATATATTTATTTAGCAGAATAATAGTATTAGGCTCTCCCCTATGGCCTGTGACCTCTCTAGCCACATATTCCTAGGCCTGATATCAATGTCAGGTATGGGATAGAGAGTAAGAAACTGCAGAGTGATTACCCCTGAATTGGACACCTGTATCACTTCTGCCTCCAAAGGCTCAGGGATTATTGCAAAAAAGGTGACGAAAAGATGGTAAGAGCCAGAGGTGGTGGATGACCACAAAGAAACAGTTTTCCAGTCCACTAGAAAGTTACTTATGTGAACTCGCAGCGATGGTAACATGCACATGTCCCATGAAAGCTCAAGATAGACAAAATCTCAGCACAGATGTTGGGAAGTGGGGAAGAAATCCCAACCCTACCTCAAGAACTATTGGCAACCAATGGTTGCTGCGAGGGAGGCGGCCAGTCTCGTTTAAGGGTGAGACTCTTGGCAGGTTGACCAGGCTAAGAGGATGAACCCACATGAAAGAGCATTTGGGGACACACACATTTGACTCTATGGGAGATAGATGATAGATAGATGATAGATAGATAGATAGATAGATAGATAGATAGATAGATAGATAGATAGATAGACATATA